AAAGAGAGGGAAGAGTCACCAAACATTAAGCCTTCTAGGGCTATAATAGAATTAGATTTGTGTAGTGCTATGTCCTAATGTCACAGAGCTACATTAAAAACAACTATATATCAGTCAGATCATTTGCAAATATTTTCTCCCATCCAGTGGAGGACTGTCTTTTTGTTTTATTAATGGTTTCCTTTGCTGTGCAAAAGCTTTTTAAGTTTAATTAGGTCCCATTTATTTTTGCTTTTGTTTCCTTTGCTTTAGGAGACATATCCAAAAAAATATTGCTATAATTTATGTCAAAGAGTGTTCTGCCTATGTTTTCTTCTAGGAGTTTTATGGTTTCCGGTCTTACATTTAGGTCTTTAATCCATTTTGAGTTTATTTTTGTATATGATGTTACAGAATGTTCTAATTTCATTCTTTTACATGCAGCTGTCCAGTTCTCCCAGAACCACTTATTGAAGAGACTGTCTTTTCTCCATGTATATTCTTGCCTCCTTTGTCAGGGGTTAATATCCAAAATATATAAACAGCTCATACAACTCAACATCAAAAAAACAAACAACTTGATTAAAAAATGGGCAGAGGAATTGAATAGACATTTCTCCAAAGAGGACAAACAGATGGTCATCAGGTTCATGAAAAGATGCTCAACATCGCTAATCATCAGGGAAACACAAATCAAAACCACAATGAGATATTACCTCACATCTGTCAAATGGCTATCATCAAAAAGAATACAAATAATAAATGTTGGCAAGGATATGGAGGAAAGGGAGCCCCCTACACTGTTGGTGAGAATGTAAATTGGTGCAGCCCCTGTGGAAAACAGTATGGAGATTCCTCAAGAAACTAAAAATGGAACCACCATGTGATCCAGGGATTACACTCCTGGGTACATTAAAAACAAAAACAAAAAAAACACTCATTCAAAAAGATACATGCACCTCAATGTTCACAGCAGCATTACTTATAACTGCCAAGATATGGAAGCAACCTAAGTGTCTATCAACAGATGAACGGATAAAGTTGTGGTATATATATATATGTATGCTACACACACACACACACACTGGAATACTACTCAGCCATAGAAAAGAATTAATATCTTGCCAGTTGCAACAACATGGATGGACCTGGAGGGTATTATGCTAAGTGAGATAAGTCAGACAGAAAGGCAAATACTGTATGATATCACTTATATGTGGAATCTAAAAAATACAACGTGGTGGGGATACAGCTCAAGTGGTAGAGGGCATGCTTAGCATGCATGAGGTCCTGGGTTAAACCTTCAATACCTCCATTAAAAATAATAATAATAATTAAATAAATAGACCTTATTACCTACTTCCCCCAAAAAACTTAAAAAAAAATACAACAAATGAATGAATATAATAAAAAAAAAGAAACAGACTCACCGATTCAGAGAACAAACTAGTGGTTACCGGGGATAGAGGGAATGGGGAGGAACAATACAAGGGTAGGGGATTAAGAAGTGCAGACTATTACAACAGTATAAAATAAGCTACAAGGATGTATTGTACAATGCAAGAAATACAGCCAATATTTTATAATAACTATAAATGGAGTACAACCTTTAAAAATTGTGAACCCCTACATTGTACATCTGTAACTTATGTAATACTGTATTGTACATCAACTTCAACTTAAAAAAATAGCAAATGAAAAATAAATTTTTAAAAATTAATTATATAATACATTAATGCACATCAAAGAATAACTAATAGAAAGTGGGTGAGTTACTTTTCTATATTACACACTGAGATGTTTCTGAGAACAGACTATTTTTGATTAATCAGTTCTTTCAAATACCTACATAGTTTGAATTTACCATAACAAATGCTATTGATTGAATTATTGAATCATTAAATGAGTTATAAAGCCAGAAAATATTTATGTTGTGTATAGGCAAGGAGTACAGGGAGAAATAATTTTCTAAATCCCAGATTACAAACATTTTGGACTATAGATTTTAATATAATTTAATCATACAAAAAGTAATGTAAAGTATATAGAGAGTTATAAAGATTTTTATGTAAACATACAATATCAGATTGAGGAGAAAGACCAAATCCAAATGCAATTAGGATAACAAGACACTTTACTTCTGTAAATTAAATACCCTATGATTACTAAAAGAACTTCTTCCATAGCTGTAAGATAGACTGCAATGATGAAAATGAAGCAAAAATAGCCTTTCCCAACATCCTTGATCAAGAAGTCCATCTCCTGCTACCATGTGAATGTTATGACACAGAGTTGCTTAATTATCTCTTTCAACCATACAGCCAGAGCTTTCTTTCTATATGTTTAATTGTAGTTATACGACTCCTAAGCTTAAATCTTAAATGAACCCATTAGCTACAGGCCAGAATCTAAAATCTTTATCATGATACACAAGGATATTGATAATTTAACCTGAACCAACTCTTCCTTCCTCAGATCCCCCATCACTCTCACCCATAAATCTATCTCTAATCACACACTGAGCTATTTGCCACTCCTGCTAACATGCCACATCCACTCTCCTCTCTCTGTACTTTAGTTTTCCTCTGTCTCTCCAGCCAGTATGGTTTGAATTCTGCAATCAGATTACCTGGGTTCAAATTCTGATTCCACTAATTAGTAGCTATGTAACTTTAGACAAGTTATTTAGTTCCTCTAAGCTGTAGGAACCAGGAATTAGTACCTAATTTACAGAAAGACTGAAGATATTTTTGAAAATGTATTCAAAGTTAAGCTATACAAGAAATGGTAATGATTAATATGCTTATTCTTTTCCTACTAACCAAGTACTGTGATAAGACCTGGGCTATAAAGATTAAAAGATAGCTTCTTCCCTTAAGTAATTTATAATTTGGTCGTAAAACAGACATATAAACAAACAATTATAGCTCAACATGATGAATGTTATAAGATACATAAAGAAGAGAGTAAATATATTGGAAGAAGAAGATTCAACCCAAAGGAACTTCTGAGAGAAGGAGAAACATGAACTATTAAAAGAGGAACAAGAATTTTCTAGACCACAAGAGGAGAGAAGACAGATAGAGGACAGAGCACTATAAATGGAGACGTTAAACAGCAAAGCATATTTACAGAGCACAGGGTGGTAAGAAGTCCAGGGCTCAAATCACAAAATATCTCTATTTATATATCATTTATATATCATGCATAGGAAGTGAGATTTTTTTTCTGCAGGAAATGGAAGATTGTTCAAGGATAGAGAAATATTAATTAATATATGAACAAATATTTGCATTCTTCCTATATTCCAGGCACTGTTTTAGGTTCCAGAAACAAAGAGGTTAGCAAGTTAGATGCTGTTCTGGACATCAAAAAGTATAAAGTCTGGTAGGAGGAGACAAACCAATTATTTTAAAATGTCCTAAGTACTAATGACAAGGGAAGGTAAAATGCTATGTTGGCACAAGGGAGGGGCACTGCTATGGGAATTAAGGTAAGTTTCCCAGGAGTTACATTTAAGCCAAGCCATAAAGGTAGAGACGGGAGTTAGCCAGGAGTAAGGGAAAGATGTAAGAAGAGCTGTCCAGCATTCCAAGTAGAAGGAGAATCATATATGAAAGTATCTGCCAATTCTGAAATATGTGTCTGAGAAGCTGAGAAGTATGCAGAGCTCACAACAATTTATGAGACAAGGGGAACAAAAAAGGAAATCTGGGGCATGCCAAATTTATGGCAGGGGGGCTCCGATAAAGTTCCCAGGCTTTGGACTGGGTAACCAAAAGACAACCCCAGTAAAGTAAAAAGCAAACGGGTCTTTGTGAGGACTGAAGCCCAGCTTCCAATCATCAATCCCTGATTAGACCAGGTCACCCGGGCTTGTTAGTGCCCCAGGTGCAGCTCCTGCCTGCCAGTAGTAATGTATATGCTGTTTCTAAAGGAAGATAATATCCTGCAAATGTCCCAAGAAACTTTCTATCTATAAATAATGGCAAAAAAACACATTATTCTCAATGTTTCCAGTTATAGTAGAAACCTACCGGTTTATATTCTAAGCATCATTTCCTTTCTGGGAATAGACTCCCCCTCTTCTGAAAAATGTTCCTTTTCCTCCCTCTGTTTATCTAACTTCCTTGGGAAGTGTCCCTAACTTTAATTACGGGGAATGAGAGATTTGGGAAAGACAAGAAAAAGGATATATCCAAGCAAAAAGGATTTATCCCCAAAATCCATGGTTAGTTTAACATTCATAAGTCAATCAATGTAAACTACCTTACCACATTATTAGAATAAAGAAGAAAAAAATGATCATTTCAGAGGATTATTCCAAAACTCTGATCTCTGTTTTCTTAACTTAGCAAGACTACAATTTTCCTCTTCCTGCACTGCAGTTGGAAATTATCTCTAGGTGTAAAGCAGAACTATTCCAGGGCTCACCTCATTTGTTTTCATTCTCTCAAGGATCAAGTTTCAGTGCTGCTTCTCGCCTAATGTCCAAAATTTTTGCCTAATATATTTCGTCCAGTTTTCTGATTGTTTACAGAAAGAAGATAAGTCTGATCCAAGATACTCTCTCATGACCATATAATTACATTTTAAAAATATCACTCTATCTGCCATGTGGAACACATGTGGGAAAGTAAGAGTAATAGGCAGGGAAATCAATGAGGAAGCTATAGCAGTGGTCCAAGTGACAGATTACAGTGGCTTGGATTTGCACAGTAGTAGTGGGAATGGAAACAAATAGACACATTCAGCATGTTTTCCAATTGGAGTTACAGGACTTGATGTATTAGGTACGGTATGGGGACCGGGGAGGCTAGGAAAGAAGAATCAAAAATGATACCTAGGTAGCAGGTGGTGCCTTAATTATAATGTGGAAGACTTTAGGGTGAATAGTTTTGGATGGTTTGGGAGGATGGACTACCAAGTTTTTCCTGTCTTGCTTCCTCTCTAGTCTTTCACTGCCCATTCGCTATTTTGCCTTACCAAAGCCCAACAAACTGTTCAGCAGAATCAGATTCTTGGGCTAGTGTGAGGCATGGGGAGTGAGAAAGGAAGAGCTATGGAGTCCTTTTATTTAACCTAGTCATAAAGTATTGAGTTCTTAAAAACCTTGCATATGTCAAAATGATAATAAGTGTCATCTTGGGTTACATCGTTGAAGTCATGAACAAATGGAGAAGATACCAGCTGGTGTATAGAGTGAGAAAACACAAGGAACTCTGGTAGAGACAACAACAACAAAGATCAAATACAATTTTCATTAGGAGAAAATCATTCTCACTCAATTTCTTGCTAAATAATTACTTCTTCTATTACCTCTTAAAATTAGTCTTTATCCCCTTTATCCCCTTAGAGAAACATAATAAAGTATACTTCAAGCTTACAATGACTCTACTTCCCTGGAGACAACAGTGCCCAGTCCCAAGCCCCAGAACATCTACAGAGGTTGGCTTCCAACATTCTGAGTTCAAAATTCCACTCTATTGGCTACAGGAGATTGGCCCAAGAGAAGGTACCTGATCCATAATGGAGTCAATCAAATTCCCAGGGGGTTAGAACTGCGGTACAGAGATAACAAAATAAGTTAGTCTAAGTGATGGAACTAACATACAATTTTAACAAGTAAGCTCAGGAAATGGAGTACAACAGTAGGGCTTTCTCCATGCAGACTAGAAAAGCAGAGAAGGCAGATCTGCAGAGAAAAAGAGAATGAAGCAGATACTAAGAAAGAAGCAGAATGAAAAAGATAAACAAAGAAGCAGAGATAGTCCTGACATTTTCCATTTCCTGATTTCATCCTCTTCTGGAGTCTTTATGTTGCATGAGACATCCCAGTATCTTTACAGGGACATTTTCCATTTTCGCTCAGGCTAACTGAAGATAGCTTCTGCTATTTGAAAGCTAAGACTCTTGATTAAAACCCTCTGGTGTTATCTTTAAACATGTATTTTCTCAGCATTATTTCTTAAACATGGATTTTCTCAGTGTCATCTTTATATAAGTATACTGTGCTACTATTCTCTGCAATTCAATCACTAAACACACACATTTTTCATATAGCATATTATGAATTGAGTATAGTATGAATTGGATATAACACAACTCATTAATATGGGAATAAGATCTACTTTATATGAACCTCTATTGGTTTGGGTAGAGGAAAAACTATTGCATTGACAAAAATGTAACCAGCTATGTGTAGGCGGTGACATGGTGTCTATCACGGGGAAAGGGAAAAATCTGGGGAATCAGGAACCTTAGGCAGTAACATCTTCTGGTTCCTCTGGCCTCCTGAGCCATGGCCTTTACTTGTCATATTTCCTACCCACCTTGCTAGCATTCTCAGCTAAAAATCTGCTGTTGATGAAACCACAGACTGGTCTTTTTTACTTGGTTAAAGCCCTGTGGCTTTCCTGGCTGTTTCAAGTAAAGTGTAATTTATATATGTAATAAATATTATTGAGAATTTTTCAAGATTTTCCAAATACTTACAAGTTGGATCTTGCAATTCAAGCTTTCAAAAACAACTTGATTTTAAGCAGAATGTTTAGCCTGTTCAAGACTATTTGTGAAGGCACTCAAGAAACTTACAAGCTTTTATAAAATTTTAACTTATCTACACATTATATTGCATACAAATTCATCAATAAAAATACCAATAACAATTGCACAGAAAACATCCTTTTCACCTTTACCATTACCTGTTAAGAAGGTTCTCTACTTCTAGAACTTCCGCTATGGACTCTTCATTATCAGAAAGGAGACGACCTTGAAATTTTCTATCTTGGAAATCATACAGCATCACAACAATAAGACTGTTCAAATGATCTGGCTACCAAAGGGAAACACAAATAAAGAAAGGTATACAAACAATATCTAATAGCAATATTTTCCATTCCATTATTTTTCATAAGAGAGCAGGAATATGACTATTTTTACATGCCTATTTGAAATGGGAGACAGAAAAGGACTTCAAAATAGAAAAAAATTTAGTGAAAAAAATAAACCTTTCAAAAAAAATAATTGGGGGCATGTTTTTCAAAATGAAAGGAGTAGGTTCTATGTTAGAAACCTCAGAGTAGGAAAAAGTTAAGGATTTATTTTGAAGAGGTCTCAGCATTAAGCAAACTAGTTATTTAAATCTGAAGGCTTTTTAATACTTTCTAAATAACAACCATGAGACAGCTAATTATATGAAAGTTGTTTACTTACTATTGTGGTACTTGGGAAGATATAGCTGTCTATTAATATACTTTCTAAAATATCTTGATCTGTAAGACAAGGAAAATGTCTGTTACTGAAAATATCAAAGCTGAAATGGAATCAAAATACACTTCAGACAATAGCATAAAATACTTAAACCACCAAACATACAGAGAAAAAGTTATACCTATCCTTCTCAAACTATTCCAAAAAATTGAAGAGGAGAAAACACTCCCAAATTCATTCTCTGAAGCCACCCTCACCCTGATACCAAAAACAAAGACATTACCAAAAAGGAAAATTACAGGCCAATACCTTTGATAAATACAGATGCAAAAATCCTTAACAAAATACCAGCAGAACAAATCCAACAATACATAAAAAGATCATACAGAATGATCAAGTTGAATTCATTTCCAGGGTTGCAAGGACGGTTCAACATATACAAATCAGTGTGATACGCCGCATCAACAAAAGGCCAAAAAACACATGATCATCTCAATAGATGGAGAAAAAGCATTTGACAAAATTCAACATTTACAAAAAAACTCTCACCAAAGTAGGTATAGACAGAACATATACCAACATAATAAAAGCTATTTATGACAAACCCACAGCCAACATAATATTCAATGGTGAAAGGCAGAAATCCCTCTCACTTAAATTCAGGAACATGACAAGGATACTCACTCTCACCACTTCGATTCAACAAAATATTGGAAGTCCTAGTCACAACAATCAGACGAGAAAAAGAAATAAAAGGTATCCAAACTGGAGGAAAAGAGGTAAAATTGTCATATTTGCAGATGACATGATATGCTATATAGAGCCCTAAAGTCTTCACACAAGAACTATTAGAATTAACAAATGAATTCAGCAAGGTAGTAAGATACAAGATTAATAAACACAAATCTGTTGCATTACTTTATACTAGCAATGAAATATCAGAAAGGGAAAAATAAAAAAGCAATCCTGTTTAAAATTTCATCAAAAAATAAAATACCTAGGAATACATTTAATCAAGGAGGTGAAAAATCTATATAATGAAAACTATAAAACATTGATACAGGAAACTGAAGATGATTCAAAAATATGGAATCCTGGATTGGAAGAATTAATACTATAAAAACGGCCATACTACACAAAGCAATCTATGGATTTAAAGCAATCCCTACCAAAATATCCATGATATTTTTCACAAAACTAGAACAAATAATCCTGAAGTTTACATGGAGCCACAAAGGAGCCAAAATTGCTAAAGCAATCCTAAGGAAAAAGAACAAAGCTGAAAGCATAACCCTTCTAGACTTCAGACTATACTGTAAAATTACAGTAATCAAAACAGTGTGGTATTGGCACAAAAACAGATATATAAATCAACAGAACAGAATAGAAAGCCCATTAATAAACCCAAGCAAATATGGTCAATTAATCTATGACAAAGGAAGCAAGACTATACAATGGAGAAAGGACAGTCTCTTCAATAACTGGGAAAACTGGACAGCTACATGTAAAAGAATGAAATTAGAATATTCCCTAGCACTGTTTACAAAAACAAACTCAAAATGGATTAAAAAACTATAAGACATGACACCATAAAACTCCTAGAAGAGAACACAGGCAAAATATTCTTAGACATAAATCGTAGTGTTATTTTCTTAGATCAGTCTCCCAAGGCAAAAAAAATAAAAGCAAAAATAAAGAAATGAGACCTAACCAAATTTATTAAAAGGTTTTGCACAGCAAAGGAAACCATCAGCAAAACAAAAAGACAATCTATGGAATGGGAGAAAACATTTGCAAATGATGCAACAGACAAGGGATTAATATCTAAATTATACAAACAGTTTATACAACTCAATATCAAAAAAAAAACCTAACCCAAAAAAGGGCATAAGATCTAAATACACATTTCTCCAAAGAAGACATATAAATAGCCAACAGGTACACAAAAAGATGCTCAACATTGTTAATTATTAGACAAACGCAAATTGAAACCACAATGAGGTATCACCTCACACCAGTCAGAATGGCTGTCCTCAAAAAGTCCACAAATGATAAGGGCTGGAGAGGGTGTGGAGAAAAGGGAATCCTCCTACACTGTTGGTGGGAATGTAAATTGGTATAGCCACTATGGAAAACAGTTGGAAATTCCTTAAAAAAACAAAAACAGACTTACCATATGATCCAGCAATCCTACTCCTGGGTGTATATCCGGAAAACACAGAAACTCTCATTTGAAAGATACATGCACTCCAGTGTCACAGAAGCACTATTTATAGCCAAGACATGGAAGCAACCCAAGTGCCCATCAACAGACAACTGACTTAAGAAGATATTTTAAATATATATATATACACATATACACACAATGAAATATTACTCAGCCATAAAAAAGAATGAAATACTGCCATTTGCAGCAACATGGATGGACACAGAGAATATTATATTTAGTGAAACTACATGAAGACAGACAAATACTATATGATATCACTTATATATGGACTCTAAAAAAATAATACAAATGAATCTATATACAAAACAGAAACAGACTCACAGACATAGAAAACAAACTTATGGTTATCAAAGGGAAGAAGAGAGAGGCAAATCAGGAATACGGGATTAACAGATACAAACTTCCACATATGAAACAGATAAGCAACAAGGATTTACTGCATAGCACAGGAATTATATTCAATATATTGTCATAACCTATTATGGAATGTAATCCAAAAAAATAACTGAATCACTTTGCTAAACACTTGAAACTAATACAATATTGTAAATCAACTATACTTCAATTAAAAAAAAATGCCAAGGCCCTCTTATAAATATAGGTACATGATGTTTTTTTAATCTGTGGCAAGAGGGAAACTTGACAACATTATTTTAAGTCTTTCCAGGGAAACTAGTAAGAATGGCACCAACATTTTTGAAAGAATATTTGTGAGAAGTAGATAACAGGGCAGAGAACCAGGCATTACCAAAACAATGTGGAAAAAAAAAAAAAACAATGTGGAACCACAAAAAAACTAGAATTAGGGTTGCTATTCTACCACACTTTCAACTAGATGAAATACTTTTTATCCTTCTTCCTGCTTGGTTCCACAGGTACCTCATATAATCTCTTCTTGAGCTTCTCTCAACTTTTCCTTCTGCAAAATGAGAATCTTCCATCTAAAGGACTTGTGTATCAAATGACATAAATAGTTTTGTGAATTACAAAGAGCTGTGCAAATATAAGGTATTACTCTCATTCAAGAGAATTGCTTTAACCACCTAGGTGATAGCTAGAGCTTAAGAGGTTATTTATTTGGATCATTTTCCTGATGAATCACTGTGGAATCAAGGATTAACTAAGCAGGCCTGGTAGCCAAACCCTGCCCATTGCAAAGAAATGTTTGGCCCTTGACAGGCTGCTGGGAGAGAACTTCTAAGCCCTTGGAATACCTTGCTGATCAAACTACCTTTGTTTACCTGGGGCCTTGGGCCACACAATATAAGCTTGACTTCTAGATTGAGTAAGGTCATCCATGAGGGTGCTCCTTGCCTACATGACTAACCCCCAATAAAAATCCTGGACAAGGCCTGGGTAAGCTTTTCAAGTTGGCAGTATTTCATTCATGTTGTCACACATTGTCCCTGGGAAAAATAAGCACTGTCCATAGCCTCCATTGGGAAAGAGCAACAGGAAGCTTGTACTTGTTCTTTCCTGGACCTATGCACCTTTTTGTGGGTGCTGATCTTAATCTTTATCCATTCATTGCAATAAACTGTAACCATGAGTATAACAGCTTTGCTGAGTTCTACGAATTCTCCTAGTGAATCACTGAACCTAAGGGTGGTCTTGGGGACCCCTGACTACAATGACTAATTCCCAAAGCCATAACCAGATCATAATTAAGCATTTACTAGGTTTTTCACTGACAGGTTACACGATTATGAAATGACCAGGAGATTTCATCAATTACTGTTAACATCTAGTGGTTGGAGAAAGAATTAAGCCAGAAATAAGATCAACAATTTCAGGAACATAAATTTCCTCAATTTTTTTCTTAATGTGTTGTTGAGTTTATTTTTTAAGAAAACATTTCACCAGTTTTTACTGTTTTAGCCATCCAGAGATTCTTTGAAAATATAAATCAGTTGCTAGTACTCTACTTCTCTGACAGAAGTCAAACTAATAGAAATAGGTTGCTCTTCATTACCTTCCTTAACAGAAAATTGACCTTTCGGTTATTTAGTAAAGTGGGACTAGTGGTTGCCATTTCAAAAAAAACATTACACTGAGCCCTTTAAACCTTTAAAAGGTTAATCAGATAAACATACTCTCTGCTTCGAAAGCCCTCATACACAAAGTACATCAACAAAGGAGCAAATAAAACTGCAAAACATAAAACACAACCAAACAAATACACTTAACATTTGTAAAATTAAGAGATTTTCTTTTTTTCCTTCTCTTTGTACTTCCTCAAAAAGATACAGTAATACGATCTAATTATTTGTTCATAAATTCACCAATAAAAGAGACCATTACCCAAGCTTTTTTCAGTTTGCGCATTAACCTTTTCAGCCTTACTGCTCCTATAAAACCTTAGAGAAGAAATTCTGAGTTTTCTTTCCTGAACCATGATTCCCTGAACCTATACTATATAAGCCAGATAGGAGTTTATAAAATATTACATGTGAAAGTATTGATAGAACATTGATAATACAAAAGATAAAAGTGAAATGCATAAGAGCCTCCATTAGTTTAAAGCAAAATATCAGGCTCTTAATTATCTTGGAAACCCACTACATTTAGAAATTCTGGTTTTATTACAGTTGAAAACTCAGAAATTATTCAGACGATAATTTAAAGCAAGATATTGTTGTTGTTAAGAAGGAAGTAATATGTGTACCAAGTAGACAACCAAAGCCATCTCATCTTAGAATCTGAACTTATAAAAATAAACATTTCAAGGAAAAGCAGGTTTATAAAGGCCTATGACAGTAATTTATCTAAATGGGATTTTCTGTGTCATTAAAAAGATGTCAAGACCCTTCCATAAAACAGAAAGATTGAGAGAAAAAGATAATCTTCTATACACACCACTATAGCATGACCATCTAGTTAATGTACTAATTTTCGAAAGAACAATTGCAGACTTTAATTATTGACTTCTAAAGGTAAGATTCAATATTCTATCAGGAAAAAACTGTCTATAATAGTTTTGGCATTAACATTAAATATCAACTAATCAACACAGATGCCCAGCTGCATTTCATTGTTTCAAGGAGAAAATGTTAAAATGTTCTTTTGACTCATGATTTAAAGTTTAACGCTTTGGTTGGTCTTTAAAATTCCATTTTAAAAAGGAGGTTGAAGGAAGAGATGAAATAGAATCTAGATGATTAAACTGGAAAGGGGAAAAATGGGTCAGACAGACTTAAAAAGAAAAAAAAAATCACAAGCAGAAAACAAAGAAATGAAACCCAGAGGGAAGTTGCCTCTTAACATTTCTCTATGGTGACAAATTCCTGGCTTCAGAGTTGAGCTACGTCATCTCTGCAGACAACCAAAAACATGCATTCATATCTAAGTAATTAATGTTACATTTTAATTCAACTAAACAATTGTTAACTGCTTCTGTGCAAGAATGTACAAGGCCCAGAAAGTACTAATACTCAGGAAATACATGCAAATTGTGCTGCCCTTTCAAGGTGTCTCTTTAGGAAGCTCATCATTTCAGCCATGCTGCTAATACTTCAAACACTTATGAAACTTCTTTTGGAACAATACTCAGGCAGTATACAAACCAATATAAACTTTATAGTTTTTATCATAATGTATAGCTAGTACAAAACCAGCAGTCTCTAGGCCCTTTAACTGCTCTCATAGTAACATTATTTGGTTCTATACTAGAGTCAACTCCATATTCAGAAGCTGATAATTGGCCATCATTGAAGAAATCTGAAACATTACACCTCAAACCCTGGAGGCAAATTAGGAAGGGAACTTCTACAAAAGTTTAAAGTAATAACCTTACAAGCTTCCAAAATTAAAGCAAATGGCCATGAGTGGGATCATCTGAATTGGGGCTGATTTAATTTTGATACTCATTTTTAATATAATGCACCTTTCTTCTTTTTCCATCTCTGTTCCTCTCCCCCACCCTCTTACTGATTTTTATGTTTATATTTATAAAAGTTCATATACTAAAATACAAAAATGTTAACACAGAGAATGGAAAGAAATACCCAAGGAAAGGGCAACTGTAACTATTTGGAATGGATTCTTGTTCTTCCTGCTAATGGAGTTGTTTGCTTGTTCAGTTTAATGACTGTGCTTATACCCATCTAAGGACAAGCCACGGTGCTAGGCACGGGGAATCTGCAGTGAAAAACAGTTCCGGCCTGAAAGGGCTTGTTTCGCTGGAACTCTCCTAATGCCTTAACATTTGCAACTGACCAGAGATATTCATAAGCCTAAAAACAAAGCCTGGCATGTATTGGGGGGGCGGCAGGATGCACTCCACAAATTCTCTCCTTATTTCCTTAGTGCTGATCTTTTAAAACTGGTACTACTCACATTTCAGGGCACTGAACGCCAGCTCGTAGGACAAACGCTGAAAGGATTCATCCTCAAACTCGGTCGAGTACTGCAGGGGTTCATTCCCATACTTTATTAAGACTTTCCCTGGTGACTTTTCGACTCGAATACCCTGAAAGATGTTCGCTGCCATAACGTAAACGGAGTCCGGATAGCCAGTTTTTTCGGGTAAACCAGCTGAGTTTTTCCCGCTGGACGCTGTGTCACCTGACAGCTCCAGGGAAGAGAGCTGGGAGGGATCCTCGGTAGCTTTTTCTTCCGAAAACTCCAGTTCACTTGCGGAGTCAAGCATGTTTGCCCCTTGACTGTCGTAGGTAACTCAAGCTTAAATTACAATTCAGATGTTCCAGAAAATGGTTTTCCTTGTACCTTAAGCATCGTCTCTGTGAACAGAAAAGGTTATCTCGGTAAATCACTATATCTGTAGGACCACACTTGGTGGCCCTCCTCGTGCCTCCTTAAAGACCAGGAGGTGGCATTTACTAGCCGATCCCGAGCATCGCACACTTCTAGCTGGACAAGCCCCAACTACACCTCCACACACCCACAAAGGGAGAGAGGTGGAGTCGGCTGGTGAATCGCCTCCGAAGCCACAAGAGACGAGGTCCGTTTAAGGGCAGGGCTCCCCAGTGAGCCGCAAGGGGGGCCCCTCGGGCGCTCCTTTCGCTGCCTCCCGGGAGTCCTCCCTTACCCCAGAGGGCGGATGTTCCGCGGGGCTTTGGGGACAGAGACGCGGCAGCCGCTGAACTTCGGGCACCTGTGGCTGGTGTCTGAGACAGCGCCCTCGGGAGCCCCGGGACGGCGGGGCTGCGGTGGCGGCCCGCGCAGGCGGTTTAGTTCAAATGAGCCTCTCCCACCCGCCGGGGTCGGGGCAGGGGGGTCGCGACCCCGGCGCTTGCTTCGCTCGGGTTCCCAGAGGGAGGACTTGCCTCAGGGCTTCGCCCGGCCACCCGCGGTCGCCCTTGACGGAAGCGGCGGCGGAGCAGGGTGGAGCGCGGGGCTGTTGGGCCCGCCGGCTCCCGCCTCAGAAAGGTAGGCCTCCCCCGCCTCTCACAGTCCGTCAGCCAAATACCCGGGTCTCCATGGCAACCAGGAGCAGAGGAGGGGCGGGGAAGCGGGGAATGCCGCCTGAGGGCAATTCCCGCGGGATTTGGCCGAAGTGTACTTTCTGTCAGCTTTTTCTCCCTCCTTCACTGGGACACGTGTGCCAGCCCCTCCTCGGGTCCAAGGGCCCTTGCACAGTTGGCCCCTGCCGTCCTGAGGGTTCTCGACTTCCTCAGAATCACAGGTGGCCCCACTTCCCCCAATATATCTCCTACGGCCTCCTTGAAAGCAAGAATCTTTTATTGCCGACAACACCCAGCTTAGCGGGTTTAGCTGAGGCACAGGAAATTTAAAACAGACGAGCGTAGAGCTACTGAAGAAAAGGAAGAGTTGAACCGACTTATTTCCACGCTTTTTAGAAAAGCGGATAACACGTTAAACAGGCTCTTCAGAGCAAGTTGCGTAAAGGTCTTGCCCAAGTTAAGACCGCTTCCCTCCTTTCCAGGAATTGCCTGCGAAGAAAGTTGCTGCTGAAATGGGCCTACAAACGATCAAATTCACCTCACCCCCCAAATTATGAGGTGGAACTGGGAATATGTATAAACCTCCCCAAAGGGTTTCAACATGACAGCTTTAATTTTTGAGAGCCCTGGAGTGAAGTCTGCATCCTAATGCATCAAAGAAAAATCAGCTGAGCTCATTTTTAAAGGTAGTGGAAAAATACTTTCTTAATTTCTAGAATAAAACCAAGTGACAGATTTAAATTTCCTATTGCGTTTATGTGCATTTTAAGCACTTCATTGATAGCCTTTTAACCTGTTTTGTTATCTTTAAAGTGCGTGTTTTAAAACTAAAAAGGAAAAGATTGCCTTTTTTCCTCTATGATGTACCATTCGTATTTCTACTTTGAAACTTCTCCAGATTTCAATAGGTCTGGTAGTCTAATGATTTTTAATGCCAGTCGGAATATCTAGAGCCTTTTTATACAGGCTGGAATTTTTCTTGCATTAAAATTCAACAAGCTAATGCAAATGTGAATAAATAAAGGTCATGAAATGAAATGTAACATGTATGTACTAAACATTTCTTGCCTGGTTTAGAAGAGTCTTGTAAAATAGAAATGGATTGTGGAACTTGACAAATTATGTTTCAAGTTTTAATTTTTAAAAAATCATTAAATCATTTAAAAAATCAACAAAATAGATCTAATATCCATTTAAAAGAAAAAAAAAAACTACTAGATATTTGGTCTCCATTTCTCCACAAGGCAAAAAAACCAAAGACTGAAAGTTGAGTGAAGTTCTTCTTTTTCGAAAAGGATCAAAGTCCCAAGAAAATCTTGGAAATGCAAGCCCCAATCTCAGCAAAATTCTTGCTAAATATACCTTAAGAGTTAAATAACCCTAGAGAACCTATTGGCTACTGGTTAGGAATCTCAGATTTTGTCCAACTACTTTGTAGAAGTGGTCCAATCTGGAAAAAAACATAATTTACATATACACTAAGATCAGTTATGGACATTCAGGGATTCTGAATTGTGTTCTCCAGTCCTTCCTCAATATGTTAAACAGGAAGGGATAAACTTTGGCATTTGATAGACATATCTGTGTAACTCTAGGCAAATCCTTAATATCCATCCCTCAGGCTCAGTTTCTGGATCTGTGAGGTGGAGTTAGTAATGCCTACGTTTGAGGTTGTTTGTGAGGCTTTAATGGGATGATGTGTGTCAAGAAGAGTGTCTGGAAAGTAGTAGCTTAATAATTGTTCATTCCTCCTTTCTACCTCCAGAAGTTTTATTTATGAAGCAGCTTCTTAAATCTTTTGATCCTACAAGGTATGAGATTACAGAGAAAGCTAATCTGCTGAACTAGCATCTGAAAGACATTTACTGGAGTCCATGTACTTGGCTTGTTTATAAATACTTAGAGATATTTTTGAGGTAGACTAGTATAGTTCTGTGGTTTTCAGCTTTCAAGCACCTGAAACCCTTGTTAAAAATGCAAATTCCTGGAGCCCATCCCTAGAGATTCTGACTTGCTCTGTAGTGGAACCCAGGAGTTTGCAGTTTTAGTAGGTAACCCAGGTGATTTTGATGCAGTCAGCCAAAATACCACAGAGTTGGAAGAATTCTGGTATGATTCAAAGACTACTGGTTCTAATTCCACCTCTGTCCCTGACTTAGAAAAGTCCTCTAGCCTCTCTGGATTCTGTTCCCTCTCGTACAAAGCAGATTAATTATCCCAGCTTATTTTGCATGTGAGTTGTGAGACTTTCATCTTCTTTTCACTCTCCAGCATACCTACCATGCAATATCATCTTGTCTACCAGAAAAAGTCCAAACCTTTCAGCAAGGCAGGCAGGGTTTTCTGTGATCTGGCCCTTGTTGGCCTTTTCAGCTTCATTGTTTGGTATCCTAAAGTCATTCCTTAAACTTCCGTATCTTTACACATGCTATCCCCTCAGTCTTGAAAGCGCTTCCCTTTTTGCCCACCTGGTGAACTCCTATTCAATCTTTGAAACTCAGCGCAAGCATCACCTTTTATAAAACCTTCCTTGTGCTTGAATTAGGATGTAAATTTAGCCTTTGCAACAGAGACTCAAAATAACCACTGGCTTCAGTAAAACAGAAGTTTCTCATATAAAGTCCTGTTGGCGTAGTAGCTCTCTTCCTTGTCGGACTTGTCAGGCACCCAGACTCCTATTTTAGGCTGCACCTGAAGCGTTTGCCCTTGTCAGCTTAGTCCAAGATGGTTTACCACTATGTCCATTTCCAGCCAGTGGTTAGGGGAATAAAGAAGAAAGGAAGGACTCACCTGTTCCTTTCAAGGACATGACCTGAAAGGTGCACACATAACTTTTGCTTACATTTCATTGGCCAGAACTTAAGTCACATGATGTACCTAGCAGCAAAAAGCGTTGGTAAATGTGTCCAGCTTAAAGTCAAGGGAACTACTGCTAGAGAAGAATGGAAGAATGGATATTGGGGAGCTATTAGTGGCAATCTGCTACAAACCTCTACCCCCTGACCCCATCACCCACCAATTCACTCACTTCCATTATTCTCAATGTCAAGTGTTCCCTACTCTATGTTCCATAACATTTTGTGCATCATGTATGCAGTCATTCATTAATTTAACAGGTATATATTAAATTCTTACCATGTACCTCGCACTGTGCTCAGCCCTGGAGGTTAAAAAAAAAAATGTATGTACAGAAATGATCATGGACCTTACCCTTAAGAAATCAATGGAATGGATAACACTTGTACTTTAGCACCCTTCAATTTTTATTATAAATATTTATGTACATCTCTGTATTCTCTCTCCTTTTGCCATCTTTCTACTCATACAATCTGAACAATACACACACTCTAAAATAGTTTTATTATATCTTTTAAATTTTATTATATACCATATCTTTTTATTTCCAGGTGCTTTTTATTCCCAGAAAGAGCCAAATATCACTCTTTCAAACACACACACATGCACAGAAGATTATAAATATGAAGGTGTCTTAGGGGTCATGGTGTATTTTATTATGCATCACACAGCACAGAATACAGTCTGCTGGAAAATGTGAGGTAAAAGCTAGCTATAAACTTGAAAATATTATCTTTTAACGTATAATTAGAGGAGCTCTTGGGTTTTTTTTTTTTTTATGATAGATCAATGTAAGTGACAACTCACTGTATTAAAAACAAGGTTTGTTGAGAGTCTCTTTCCCCAAAGTAAAGCTCAGGCAAACAGTTGTGGGTTAGTAAATTCATGGTTACTATTTACTCTAATCATGTGTATAACCCTGCCTCCTTGCCTCTTACTCCTGGTTTATGAGCTCATTGTGGACTTAAAGTATTGGCTGGGAGAGCCAGAAGGAAGCATATCAAATCTCAGTGAGCACTGTACAAAAGTAACCATAGAGATAGGTGTGTGGATTCAACTGTTACGAAAGCGAGTAGGAAAAAATATAGTCTTTGTTTAAGTTGCACCCTGTAATATGATCAGAACATTAAATCAGAGATGGTGTAGAAAATTAAAAGTTAGTTACCTGGAGCTCTCTGCCAAAGTAAGTAAAAGGAGAGATTCTCCTTCCCCAAAGGATAGAGTATTTGAAATATTTTTAAATTAACATTCCTTGCATTTGACCAGAGTAGCTCCTGTATTGTTAGCCAAGTGGGTATTCAAAACACATTTGCTTACTTGCTTCAGTTTGATCTGGACACACAAAACTGTTCAGTTCTACTGAATTTTGTCATTATAGAATTGTAAAAAGTGTATGAAACAAGGAATTTTAACTCATGTTCTAAACATCATGACGCAATTTATCATTATTGCTACTTAGAAACAATACAGTTTTCTTTACAACAGCTCTTTTTTTTAATAGACTTTTTTTTTTAGAGCAATTTCAAGTTTACAGCAGAACTGAGCAGAAAATAGAGAGTTCCTACATAGCCCTCCCCACCCACACATACACATTCCCCTACCTTAAACATCCCTCATCAGTGTGGCGTATCTAGTACAAGCAATGAACCAACCTGGGCACATTATTATCAACCGAAGTCCATAGTCTACATTAGGGTTCATTCTTGATGTTGTACATTCTACAGGCTTTGACAAATGCATAATGACATGTAGCCACCACTATAGTATCATACAGAGTAACTTCATTGCCCTAAAAATCCCTTGTGCTCCACCTATTCATCCCTCCCTCCCTCTCTCTCCCCATACCCCTGGAAACCACGATCTTTTTATTGTTTCTGTAGCTGTGCATTTTCCAGAATACCATTTGGTTGGACTCGTAGTTTGTAGCCTTTTCAGACTGGCTTCTTTCATTTAGTAGTATGTCTTATAAGTTTCTTCCATGTCTTTCATGGCTTGATAGCTCTTTTTCTTTTTCACTGCACATATATTTTTTAATTTACATATATGTACTGTTCATTGTTTCTGAGAATGTTTAGAGCTTTAGCTTTTTTAACTTATATAGTTATCAAAGGAATAAAGCCAACCACAAAATA